ACCTGTGAATATTCTGAAGGATACTATTATGTTAAGGGATATTGTAATGACTAACACAGTCCCTAACAGCAACACTTTAGGTCTGCAATTGTATTTCAAAGGAGAAGGTTTTACACCAGAAGCAACAGAATATTCTTATTTGCCTCTTAGTTGCCTAAAAATTATTAATCAACACATTGGTTTTCCTTTCTGCCTGTATCAGCTTTTACATATTATTCCTTAAGTCAAAACATGTTCTCTCTAGTCCACTTCTCTTTATACTACTAGGTACATCATGGACAGTATAGGAAACAGCCAGGAAGGGACTTCATATAACTAACTGCAGTGGTTCAAAGAAACTGCTTGTGTACACACAGATATACAATAAATACTGTGAAGAAGTGTTTCAGAACTAGAATTTGACTAAAAGTGGCATTTCTTAGAGTATGATTGTCATATTCACATATTTTTAAGAACAAAGAACCAAAGCAAACTATTGTTCTCAAGTTCAAAATACCTTTACTGTATGTATGTTTGGATTTTAAAATCCCTCCATCAACTCAAGAGTAGAGAGGGAAAGAAAAGGCTCTAGCAAACTGAAAACTCATACAAAAGGAGAGAAATTGTTTCCTCTTTCTACAAGCAGGAGAGGAGCAGTTGTATTATCTCCTATAAAGGAAATTGAAACAATTCTGAAGAGAAAAAAGAGCATTTCCAACAGGCAAGAATGAAGAACTCTAGAGTTTTATTCTGAGCTTCATTTTCCCTTTTTAAGCAATTACACAACCTAATAGACTACAGTCCAAATACTTTCACTTCTCTTGCCTTTTTTTTTTTTAATACTTGGAAGATTTTTGGCTGCTATGTATTAGAACACAGCTAGTAAAAGAAGAACTAATTGAGAAAACTGGTTCTAGAAGGTCAAACTTTCAGTGGAAAAAATGTTTAAGGTTTTCTTTCAACTTTCATTTGTAATTTGAACGTCTCTTAGTTGATCCTTTTGCTTGGCTGGAAGCTAATCTAAAAAGACAAAATTTTAATCTTTCTACATTTTCACCACATTCACTACCTTAAGATCCTATTTAATAAAGGGTTCTCCATCCAAGGACTTCAAACTATATTTAGCAATTACCCAGTGTGGAAGTGAATGAACTATTACATGGAGGGAAGGCTAGAGCACAAAGTCACAGAAAACTTTGCCAGGATTGGAGCAGAAAATTTGTAGCACAGCCAGAAAGACACTTCCTGGCTCCCAGCTCTACTTCTCAATCGTAAGTAATTCCTTTCTGTACATACACATGCTCAAAGAGGAACTCCAGTAAATAGACAAGAAATGCCTAAACTCATAAAAATGACTGGATAAATAACAACTTAGAGCAAAGAAAATACTGTCCTGCCACAGTTTGTCTTCACTGCAACAGATAGCGCAAGTTCTTTTGCATAAGCTTGCTTAAGCAAAGTAGAAACAAATGCCTGCACGTGACACAGATGTGTCTCTGAAAGCAGCAACATTAGTTATTGAATAATGGAGTTACATAGAGCATTTTGTGCATCATTTAACAGTGCATACTCTGGCCTTGGAAACACTGTAGAAATTTATTAAAACACTATTAATGTTGTAGTTGGTTTTTTTCCTCTAAAGAGCTTTTAGTAGTAGCATCAGCACACACTAAATACAGTACATAAGACAAATTCAAAATTTCTTTCACCTTTGACTACAACTTCTGTTTCAGAAGCACCCACCAGAACTGAAGGTGAGGAACACACTACCAGAGGAACACCCAACACTGGTCAGCACAACTCCAAAGGCTTGGAAAGCCTTCCAATATTTGGAAGCCTTCCAATATTTTATTTCAGTGAAATATTTCTTTACCATTCAAATTAGACTTCTGAATTTAAGGAATCCTGCCCCCATGCCATAAATGAAAGCAAGTATTCAACTATGTGGCATCCAGGGGTACAAGGAAGGAGCAGTGTCCTACAGCCACTCTACTAGCAGACTGCTGGGTTATAAGTGCTTTTCCTTCTGACCCCCTGTTCAATGCTGGAATAAGTTTGCCACACAAATCCAAGATCACTTAAGGGTGTAAATAGTCCTAGATACCTCAACTCAGATATCTAAACTCATATAAGCAGAGTTAAGTGGTAATTGGCTGAAGCAGTGCATGAAATCTTTTGCTGCTGAAGTTAGAGATGATTTCAAGAATCTCATCAGCTCTTGCCTTTAAGGAGTCCATGCTCACCCTGCCTTTGGTGCCTCTTCAAGAGCCAGAGGAAGGTTGTAAATGGAAATTCAGGCTTTGCTCATCTAGCACTAGCAACAAATGACAGGTCCTAACTCATTCCCGCCTGACGCGGAAAGGTAGACAGACTTACATATGTGTTTCCCTGCAGCAACAGTATTGTTTCCTTCGGAGAAAAAACCCCCCTCAGCGTACAGGGCCCTCCCTGCAGCTGCTTCCTCCTGCCTACCTCCCCTCCCCATCCCAAAGGAAAATTGCTTTTGGTGAAGGAGCATAAGCAAGGTCATTACCATGTCAATTTTTCCTCCATAATAACTGATAAACTTCTTTAAAAATTTTTAAAGCACTGGGATCTACTAAACTGTTTTCTGAACCTGTCAGCACAAAGCTCAACATCTTAGAACAAGATCCAGTGAACAGGGAGTGTGCAATGAAGTTTCGCCCCTGCTCGTGCTGGAGCCTGGCCAGAAGGGAGGCTACTCCTGACTCCCAGCAGCTCCCAGAGCACTAGTACAGGCTTTTCAGTTTGGAGAAGCTCACACAAATTTAAACACTGCTTGGTAACAATCAGCTACATCTAAATTAAGAAAAAGGATACACAATTTGCCTTTGCCATTCACACTTTTACACTAAAATAACTCAGCCTGCACACTCAGTCATAACCCTTCCTTGCTGAAACATGAAAGCAATGAAAAACCGGTCAACTTGGGGTTTTCAAATTTTCATCCAAAGGTGGAAAAATCCTGCATCTGAATGGTATTTCTGGACATATACAAATATGACTTAGGTCTTCAATTAATGCAAAGTGCACGTACTGTACTACACCAAAAGGGTACAGGGGCCATAGAGTCACAAAGACAACAAAAGTATACACATGATACTCTAAAATAGAGATATGAGTAGTATTCACATGTGTAACAGGAGCAACAACACAGGCCACAGCAAGGCAGGGGCTCTGACGGATGAAGCAAAGGCTGAGGATGCCCCTTCACAACTGCCTTAAAGCACACTTACCATGGCAAAATAGACAGTGCCTCTGATCAAACATCCCACCCTGCCTCTGTGCACTCACACCTTCGCCCAAATGCCAAAATCAAGTACTGATTGATGAGAGATATACTCATTTCCACTAGTTTCTCTCTCTAGATGTGAATTATTGCTTGAGGTTTTGACATGTGACATCAAATTTTTGTACTTCATGGATTTTCATTCCAGTAACTGAGCCTGCCCCGCATAGTTTTCCTGTATAAAGTCAGAGCAGTAAAACTGAGATCAGAGCTCCCACAGCCTGATGCAGAACTTTTGCAGGAAAACCCCTCTCTCACCATGCAAGGTTGCCAGGAACTGAAACAAAATTTAGTGTGCTTTTGTGAGTAAAGTCAGGGAAGACAACTTTACTCTAAGGTACAAGTTAAATTGGACACATAAGAGACTCTGCCAAGCTCAAATTTTCATTTCAGGCTGACTTAGAAGTGCAAAATGCACTATGCTTTACGATTAAGCATGAATTTCAAAAATAGTCAAGAAGGTTTCTTGTGGTTATAGCCTATTGAACTTAAACTGCTTGATTTCAACTTAAAATCAAGGTGAAAATGTTTAACAAAAAACTATAAAGCAAACTTGAAATAAAATAAGAACCACTTTTTCATGTTTCTGAATTTTGTCTGACATAGTTTACATCAAGAAATCGTGCCAAAATCCTGTGAAGCGCTATTATTTACTCTTCTTCACAGTACACTATAAAGGTTCTGCCCAGAACCTTGCTTAAGTACAACTGATTAAAATCTACTTCAAAAGAACCATGCCACCCAGCCAGATATGAAGAGATTTGTTATTCTCAGACTTAGAAATAGACTGGTTTTGATGCCAGAAGTGAGTCTATCCAAGCTGTTGTTAAATAAATGAGTCTGTCTAAACTGAGATTTACCTCATATCTGCCCCAAAGGCAATAAGAGATGGGGGTTTTTTTATATTTACTTAACAATATAATTAGTTATAACATGTTTTTGTTTCATTAATCAGTGACTAATGGGACTGTTTTGTGCATATGCAATAACTGGCCCCTTTAAATCACCAGAAACAATTGCACAGTACACTATGCATTTTGCTGTATTAATTCTGTGCTTACATATTGAAGAAAATGCTTTCCACGTCACAATATTTCAAAAAAACCCTGAAGTGTATTTTTTTTTTAAAGACCCACCTTTCTGGCTAGCAATAAAGCTTGGGGTGTGCTTTCTAACATGGAACAAGTTAAAAATTTCTCCTCCCACTGCAACACATCTCAGTCCTGGGAATATCCAAGAGCAATCCTCTCTCAGTATTATTTGGTGAAATTATTTAATTACCTAACAATGTTACTTTGTCCCTCCTGAGCTTAGTATTGAGGGAATTTAGATAGAACCACTCAGATGATTCCTGGTGATTAATGTGTTCTCTATTACAAGGAAAGATATCTAACAAAAATCATGATGCTAATTCAATCCTGTATAAAATCTCACAATTACTATTATCTCCAAAGAAAAACAGGAACTTTAAGGCATGAGGGTTATTCAGGCACTGCAAAGTCTTCTCATGACTAAAGAAAAAGATTTTTCAGGCCCTGGCAAAATTGACAAAGGACTCTTCAGGAAGCATGGAAAGAGTTAAGAGGCAGCTGGAGCACTCTGCTGGTGACCATTTGCACGACTGCAAGCTACAGTCTGCAAGGTACAGCAGAGACATTATCAGATTAGGGGAAGGCAAACAAACCAAACTGAAACCATTCTTCAGCGCCCAGCCTCTTCTTCCTGTGATGTCATGCTACAAATTGCCTGAGCGCTCTGCTCTCCTCTCCAGAAGGAGCTGGGCTGCCGAGGGCTGTGGGCTGCAGGAACAAACACGCTCTGGAATTCGGTTTCTGCCCTGGCAAGCAGCTCCCTTCTGCTTCTGCTTCCTGCCCCATGGGACCAGCCAGCAAGCTGAAAAACTTGTTATACAGAAAGAAGGCTGAGGGAGAAATGCAAGTGCCCACATTGTGGCGTCCAGGAAATCGTTTCGCGAGGCACATACTCCCAGTACATTCGGATGGACAAGGCTTTGCTGTCACGATCTGCAGCCAGGAGTAAGGCAGAAAGCCCTACAGTGGCTTCATTGAATCGAGGTGGGAAATGGAACTAAGCAAGCTTTGAGGTGATCTCATCTGCCACAGATGATGCCTTTTCTGACTTTTGCCGACTGGTTATGTGATTACAAATAGCACTCGGAAGAAAAGAGTGACCTTCTGGTGATTTCTACTGGAGATGTACTCCCCTGCCACAGAGCTCGCCTTTCTTCCCTGAAGCTTCACAGCACAACAAATTTGCCAAAACACACTGTTCAAAATACATCTGATCTGCGAGTTCTTCTGGAATTTCAAAAGAGTTGCAGTAAAAATACCAGAGAAACCTCCAAATCACAGGAATTTTAAACATACCATTATAATGGTAAGCTCTAATTGTTCCACTGAGGACTCCTTTAAATATACTTTGTATGGGTGTATCTTTAGCATGGTGTTTGTTCTCGGCCTCATAGCAAACTGTGTGGCGATCTACATTTTCACTTGTACCTTAAAAGTGCGAAATGAAACTACAACTTACATGCTTAATTTAGCCATATCGGATCTGCTTTTCGTGTTTACATTACCCTTCAGGATTTATTACTTTGTAACCAGAAACTGGCCATTTGGAGACATTCTTTGCAAGATTTCTGTCACCCTCTTTTATACAAATATGTATGGGAGCATTTTATTTCTGACGTGCATAAGTGTAGATCGCTTTTTAGCTATCGTACACCCCTTCCGATCTAAGACTCTTCGAACCAAGAGGAATGCAAAAATTGTCTGTGTTGCAGTGTGGATAATTGTGTTAGCAGGCAGCACACCAGCAAGCTTTTTCCAGTCTACAAACTGCCATAACAATACTGCACAAAGGACATGCTTTGAAAACTTTTCAGAGGACACATGGAAAACCTACCTATCTCGGATTGTTATCTTCATTGAAACAGTTGGGTTTTTTATTCCACTCATCTTGAATGTTACCTGCTCCACTATGGTCCTACGGACTTTGAATAAGCCGCTTACATTAAGCCGGAATAAATTAAGCAAGAAAAAGGTACTCAAAATGATTGTTGTCCATTTGGTGATATTCTGCTTCTGCTTTGTGCCTTATAACATTACCTTAATACTTTACTCCCTTATGAGAACACAGACCTGGGTTAATTGCTCAGTGGTAACTGCAGTCAGGACTATGTACCCCATCACTCTGTGCATCGCCGTTTCAAACTGCTGTTTTGACCCTATAGTCTACTACTTCACATCAGATACAATCCAAAATTCGATAAAAAAGAACCGGTCCACAAGAACACGTGATGTCAGATTCTCTGAAAGGCCAGTTTCAGAAAACTTCATTCAACACAGCCTTCAGACCATAAAAATGAAAATATTTGACAGTGACTCTACAATATAAACTATATTAAAAGACTACTGGGACTAAACTGGAATTAGAAGCCTGCACATTTCTTCAGCTGTGGACATATGTTCTGATATGTAAATGTTATGCTTCCTTCACATCTGAAAAGTTTATTACAAGGCTGTAAAAGTGTTAAGCATAATAGCACACGGGAAAAGTATTTTAAGAATTTACGTCAAAGGTCTGTTCTGACAGACTGTATGTTAGGAATGAACTTTTAGGTTTGGATTAGGTTAACCAAAGTCCAAAGACTGTTTGTCAAGTCATACACAAATAAAAAAATAGGTTGGTTTTCTTTCCTGAAGTTAAAACAATTGCTCATTTTTAATAATTATATCAGTTTCCAAGTTACTGAGGATGGGGGTGAAGCTGCCTACTTTACGCTACAGGATCCAGTCACTCAGGAAAATTGCCCCATATTGTCATATCACTTCATAAGCTACTGTGCCTGCTCCAAGGTTTCCTCTTTTCTCTCTCTCTCTCCCTCTTACTCCTTCCCCTCCTTCTTTTTCCCTCCACCTTCCTTCTTAGGGAACATTACATTCATAGGAGGTTTCAATCCATGGGTTATAAGAACTTTGTTTCTCCTAGGTTTATCTTATTAAAATATATGCTATCTCCACAAGTCTGGCCCCCATGAAGTAATTAAGTCTTCTGGTAGTTTAGAGCATTTGGAAATGACTTAGACAGACTGGTTTTTCTTCTCACCTCTGTCTCAGATGCCTACGTAATTAAAACAAAGTAATTCCTGATGACTGAAGTTAGTGCTTCAGGTACAGTAACACTGTATTAAACTCTTTTGTGAGAAGTTCTCCAACTCAACATGACTTTTGAGGAAAATAACGCCCTCCAAATAAGTTAATTCGATCCAAAGTAGTAGTTTCTTAGAAAAACATGACTTTTGCCAACTAGAAATGAACATGTGCATCAACTCAAATATTTCTTCCAGAAAACTATTCAGTGTCTCCTAAAGAAATTCAAGACACTGTGATTTTGAGTGCAACTTCCTCTCAATTTTCATGTCCTAGAAATAATTTTAACATAAGCATTTAAAATTTCAAATGCTATTTTCTTTCAAACTTCAAAAAGTAAAAAAAATCAATACTTGGGGCTACGTGCTGGCAAAATTAACCAAGACATTTTGAGAGGTCAATGCTATGTAAAAGGAGGAATCTACATATATTAATGTTACAAACAAGAATACATAGACAAAAGTGCTTTAAAGCATCCTGTTTTATACGTTTTCCAGCCCTAGAACACTGTGTACATTTTCCTCAAAATTAATTTAACATCACTGTTAAATAAAAAAAATTTAAAAGGTAAAAGTAAGTGTTGTTTTTTCCTCCTCAAAAACAATGGAGTCAAGAATAAGAACTGAGTTTACATGAATTTGCACTTTAGATTTAGGACAGTCAGAGCAACACAGACACAGCACTGAGGTATTTTTACTTCAGGGCTGTATACAGAAGCACGAATCAATGTTGGAGAAAAGGCATATTGAGCTGTCAGAGTATATCATATGTTATCTGGCTGAGTTTACTTCCCTTTGCAAAGTTTTTGTTAATTTTTACAACTCAACAGTACATTGCCTCCTACGACTGGGTAACTGAGTTACTGAAAGACTGCCAGAAAGTAATGTTGATTGAATTTTAAATTTAAGAGCATTTTCAATCTTTATCCATACAACTTATAAAAGGAAAAGTCAAATAGCATGAGCTTAAGCTACAAACATATCACAGATATAAATATCTACATAATATCTGAAAATAAGCAATTATCTTTGGTGGGAATCCTAAACTCTTTTAAGATTCATATCCGACTTCAGAAAAATGCACAAAAGCCCCAGCATAGAGTAGAAATTCTGTACATTTTCTATATTCCACTGACAAATCCAAAGTTCAAAACCAGATATGCATCTCTAACATCTCAGTGAATCCCTCTCTAAAGAGCCTGTTTAATACTAGACTCCCTTTTAAAGACTGTGAGACAAAAGCCTTTAAATTACATACTGGGTTATGTTTCTAGGCTACTACTCTCACGGAGCTTGTCAAAGCTGTTACTCGGTTTAAGTGACAACTTGTTCAGCAACATCTCTGCACTACAGCAGTGAGCACCCTGGAGTCTCACCCTGGTACAGAGAAGCTACTCAGTCTGAGATTACACAACTGCAGGAGGGGGAAAATAAAGAAAAAAAAAAATCACTGACTTACAAGCAGAACAAGCAGATAAAGTCACATGCATGAGTACTCCCCTTTAAACCAGACTTCCTTGGTGTATTAGCTTGAGTAGGCTGGAGAAGAACAGACAGGAGGTCTTTCTGCTTTGCACTTACTCTCCAGGGCAGAAGTTTCTGCTTTTTGCAACAGCACAGTGCCACACAATACAATAGTTTTCTAACCAGTTAATAGCTTGACACCCCAAAACTATTTGAGGAAACTTTGTATTTTTTATTATTAAACTTACTTCACTCTTCCACAGGAAGAGTGCAGGAGAACCAAATACCCTAACAAAAAACCAACACAGTCAAAAAACCATCATCTGTAATTTTGAGAATCAGGTCATTACTTGAAAAATTCCTGATCTGACTTACTTAAAAGAAGAGTGAATCTGTACCTCCCACAACAAGCTGATATAAAGCCAAGGTACCAGCTATTCAGGACTGGATGAGATTTTCTCCACCTTTTCTGGTTCTGCAACAAGATTATCCTGGAGAGTTGTGGATGGAGCAATGTTTTCACTGGTACATTCCTGAACAGATGCACTCCTTCCCTGTGCTCCTGCCTTTGATACCAACTCTTGTGTCTCTCTGGTAAGGTCTTATGCTAAAATTTAAATTTAAAACCTAGATGAGGAGTTATGATCCTAATTCATGCCAAGAGCTCTCAAATAAAAAAGGCTTATATTGTCAGAGCTCCTGAGGATCTGAATGTGTTGCAACCAGTACTTCCTAAAAGTGAATTATTTTTACTCATATGCCTACACAGGGGGCATTAGGAGTTCAGTTCTAGAATCAAAACTTAAAAAACCCTGTTCTTTGCAGTCTGGTTTCTTCATCTACAGAGTGCAGAAAATGCACACTTACTATAAAAATAAAAGTAGAGGAAATTTAGTTGATTTCAAACATGTTTTTGATCTAAATCAAGGCAGGTAGACATTGATAACTAGATAATTAACCAGCAGTTTCAAAAGACAAGGAAAAAGAAACAAACCTATGATAAACACCTCGGATTTATCTCAACATATAATTGCTTCAAAAATCAAAAGATGTCCTCCCATTTTATACTTACTATACTCAGCTTGAAATTTTAACTTCTGGCTTTTTCAAGAACAGAATGCAAGTCAATTTTTTTTTTCACCCTTAGTATACATGTCTTGGATATTTAAAAAAAATACCAATACCAAGTCAAACACATTTTCATGTTTTTCATCCAAAAATGTGTAAAAAAACCCCATGGAATAGACAGATAAGGAATTCTTAACTGGAATCAACCTCCAAGCTTTCATTTCTTAAGGAGGTAACCTCAGACATAGAAATGCAAAGATTGAGAAAGACCTTTTAAGACCAGGTAGGAGATAAGAATGGCTGTACTGGGTTAGACCCCAAACATTCAGCTAATCTACAGTCCTGCCTCCAACAGTAGCCAAGTTTGGATGCCTGGGGAAGAAGATAACAGTAGGAGAGGCACACAAGACTTTCTCAAGTGTGTCCTGGTCATATCTCAGGACTTTTGGGATTGGATGTATTTGTGTGTTCAGCAACATTAAAAATTTCTCTTCTGTGAGCTTCTCCTGTCTTCCTTCAAACGTGTGTAAAGTTTTTAACATTCACAGTAGTAAAAAGTTCACATTGCATGTGTGGAGGGGGAATAAAACTAAGAAGTGCAAACATCGTTTTGTTTCAAATCTGCTAGTTTCATTACTGCCCCCTCACTTCTTTTGAAAGAGCCAGAGAGTACTAGATTGTCATTCAGTCTTTCCATATCACTCTTGATTAGTTGGTCTTCCATCATCTCTTGTAAATGAGATAGTGATTTTCACTTGTAATTTCAAGCATCATCATCACCAAAGATGAGACTATTAGAAATACACAAAGAATTCAGCTAAAATTACAGAGAACCCCGTGAGGTTCACTTAGAGACTGGTAATTTGAAAATCCCACCCAAGTGCATTATCCTCTAGCCTTATTTATTCTTTCAAGTTATTTTCTAGGAGTTTTATCAATGAAGAGCAATTTGTTCATACTTTTCCAGCAGTAAATGTAATATTATAAGGTTCTTGCACCTAGGCAGACCTGTAAATCCTGATAGGTTCCCTTTTTTGCCAGACTATAATTTAGACTTCTGGGTTTCTGGCATTTGAGCACCACTGACAAAATGAAAGAGGATATGTTTCAAAGGCTAAGGCAAAATGTAAATCAGAATTATTCTAAATCTAGAAGATATAAATGTCTGGGCTGCATTGGTTATCCAATTACCAGAATGTTGAAAACATTGTATAAACAGAACTGCCACTGCATTAGTATATTTACAGAATGTACTCAATAGAACGCATTTAAGATGAATGCAAATTCAGAAAGCCAAGCTTGCACAGTCTAATACTTCTGCAAGAAGTTGGATGGAGAAGTTTGTTCTACTTGTCTAATTCTGCTTTCACACTGAAGCCTTTTGCATTTATTGCCTCCCCCCCATCCAGTTCCTGTTATACAGCTGTTTATAAAGTAAGCCCAGTTTTTCCCGTAAGAAAACTGAACTTACCACAAAATTAAACCAAACAAAAAGAACTCTTCGCACATCTTCTGGACTTTTATAAAACCTACCATTTTGTTAGAAAACTAAAAATTCCAGAGCTGAGAATTTAGATTTTAAATAACTCTTTTTTTCTATTTAAGAAACAGTCTCCCACTCTAGTTCTAGCAAAACTAAAAGCTGTCCTGCACTAAGACAGATAAGTTCTCTACAGTTTAAACTTGAGAATCAAATCACAAGCAATGACAAAGGAAGGTCTTCAGCAAGAAG